ACACACACACACACACACACACACACACACTTTCATTGACTGCAGTTCAAGTTACATCTTAAACTAGATCCATACTACTATGTTTTCAAGTTACGCCAGGCAGAAACAATGGCATTTGGAAATGATGATGTAGACAGTAACAATCGCTTGCCGATTGGGCCTTTTCAGTCATGATGTTGCCTTCGCATAGTCATCATGATACAACTGCTAACATGTGTAGGAGACGAGCTATGCCCAGTGTACATAAGTGGTCAAGTGATATGCATTTTCATGCCCATTATTATAGAAGGGGATTAAAAGTGATACAGAGCCTTAATGCTCTTGTGGACAGAGATTGTTTAAGTTTGAAAATGCCATTTTGAAACAAAAACGTAGTAGTATGAAGTAGTTTTCCCTCTAAAGATTTAGTCCATTAGAATATCAATAATAAAAGGCAGCCATGAAGGCAACACAGCAAAAGTTGGAAGCATGCATGGATAGGGATGTCATCATGAGACACACAGAGACACACACACACGTCCCCTGGCCCCTCTCCCTCCTCCCCAACCACCCACCCACACACCAGTTACCACTGCAAACCCCAAACCATGCCATAATAGGGAAAGAGTCACACCGCAATCAACATAACCTCTTCAATTCATATCACACAAGAGGGAAAGATAAAAAGACACTTCAATCCATCACAGCACACGGCACTGCACTCTCAAGCCATCACTGGCACCTTGGAGAGAGGCTGGCTGAGGGAGGAGGGCATGGGACGGACAGACAGACATTTTCTGTCAAACCGCCTCCTGCACTGTGGGCATCTTCTGATCCTCTGCTGGGGCACTGGTCAGCTGGCGGCACAGAGCAACCGTGGCATAAGGATAGCAGTGATTATTGTCAGCAATAACATGAGGTCCTATTGTGTCATCAAGTCAGTACAGAAATGTGTTTCAGGAAGAAATGGGAAGGATAAAAAAGTGTAATCTACTGGTTAGATTGACAGAATGTTAATGAAACAGTTGTACCTGTGATACCCTGCATTACATAAACAACTGCTTCTACACAGAATGAAGGGGGGTGTTCAGACATGAACTCCAGAGAATGACCACATAATGGGGTCCGAACATCCTCTGGAGTTTGCCTTTCACATGCAAACAAAGCAGCCAGAGATTCTCTGCTCAGATGCGGGTGGCATAGGAGGCAGAGGCAGGATGCAATGTATATATTCCGCTGTGTAGATCACATTTTTAATTAACACATCGACATGGACGTCAGCTCTTGTCTCGTAAAGCTCTCGATTCCTGTTATCTCAAAAGTTGACATCTTTGTTAGTGTCTTCTATGTGTATTCATGTTTTTGAGTTATCCGTATGTCGCGCATTAGAAATGTTATTGATATTGTGGGGAATCCTCCGTATAATCAGCTGTATTCTCACATGAGCTTACTCAGACATTATCCAGTTTTTAGAGAACTGGCAGAAGAACTCTGGGAAATGTCTGACATTTACTTTCTTACATACAGCAGCACCTCTGGAGAACTCTAGGAGATTAACCACAGTTCAGGTTATGTTTGAAAGCATCTTCAATGTCAGCACCCTGAACACATACAACCAGACAACAGTGGCATGTAACAAGGACGCATAAGCAAAGGAAGGCAACCCCCCACCCATGAGCTCAATCTACACTTTGCCCTCTCAGTGCTATTGAGCTACTTACAAAGAGGCATTCACTCTCGCACACAGCTTTCAAAGATGACCATACATTAATGCTGTGGGGCATATGCGCTTTCACTCCCATCATGTATAATGAGCCTGCCTTCTTCATGGCCTTGGCAGTGGGTCGCCATCGGCATTTTGCCTTAATCTGGACTCAAAATCAAGTGACCTTGTGGAGGTAAAGTGGAATAGAAAATAATGTAAATAGCGTGAGCCTAAAGGAAGTTAAAGGCTTTGTCTCTACAAAGCCTTCCTGTATCCTGGCTTTTGTGTGGGAAACAAGAGATGGAGATGTTAGCTGTACATTTACCTTTTATTTTACAAGAAAAAAAGGATAGGGAATAAGGCAAGTTGGGAACAGTAGCATGCTCCCGGGGCCACAGAGATGCCAGATGACAAGTGGATTGTGGGACTGTGACGGGGGGAAATGTGGATGACGGCCAGTAGATCATAGGTCAGCTGTATTTGTGCTGACGGCCAGTCTGTGTGCATTTGACATGGTGCCACTCTAAGGATGGCAGGCCCAGACACTGGAGAGATGCATTCACCAGAAAACTAAATCCACAGACAAACAGAAATCGGTAAACCTTTACAGAATACAGACCGGAGTCTTCAACATTTAAGAAGGCCACATAATGAGCAGATGTGAAAAGCCTGGGCGATACCACACCAAGCAGCTACATATTTCTACAGGATAACACAATTGACCTCCAGCGCCTCCAGCGCGTGACTCACTGCAACGCAAAGTGTGAAAACAGACGCGACCGGCCTGGGTTGGGGGAATTAAAAAACGGCTTACAAACACTGACATGAGGACTTGATGCCCCTCCCTGCTCTCTTTGTTCAAGAGGATTGTGAATATTCTTTATGGGCAGGGGTTTTGTTTGACACCTGTAGAGGTGTTTTTCCAAGGGAGCACACAGCCTCATTAAGCATTAGTCCCAGAACACACCCCTAGATACCTTCCCCCCTCAATCTTCTCTTTAAACCCCCACCTCCCTCCCTCCCTCTCTCACAGAGGTGTCAGTTTTCTGTGGCTCCATCAGATGATAGTGGCAACACTACATAGGAGAGATTTCAGTTAAAAACACTGTTAGGGGGATAAAAACGGACGACTTGACGTGGGAAAGGGGCTTGACTGTGTGTGGAGTGGAGGAGGTGATGCATGAAGGGAGATGAATCTGCTAGTGCACTGACAATTCCTCCCCTCCCCATCAAAAACAATGTTCCTGGCCTCTGTGACCCCTCTGGCCACACAGTATACAGCATCTGCTGACCACAGCTATATAGACACAGACACACACACACACACACACACACACATCAACAGCAGTGAGTCTGAACCAGAACACCACAGCTACACTCAATGCATTGTCCAAAATCCTACTTCAGAGCATGTCCTCACACCATATGTCTGGGGGGAGAAGAGGGGCTGAAAGAAAAGCCACTTGTACACTTGGCATGTTAGGGAGGCCTGCGTCTGTCACCCGCCATACAGAGGCAGACAGGTGCTCTGTGCGCCTCTTATAAGTCTCTGGGGTGTTGGTCATGGAAGATTAAAGGGGTGTAAAAGGCTGTAATAAGAGCCAGCACCTGTCAGACACATGCAGCCTCAAAGCAGCACTGTGCTCCACATTTCAAACTCTGGGGTTTTCTGTAGCATCCACGCTCACTGTGGGAGCAGGAGCATGGATGACATCAGTATCCTCAGTAGATTATGATGGGACATGTCCCTGGTGGACCCCTGGATTTATCATTTAGATGCAGCAAGACATTAGAGAGGGGGTATGGCTGGTGTGAGAGTCTTATCTTTGGGTTCGCTAAAGCACCAAATGCCTCTTATTTAGTCCATGTCCCTGTGGACCATCTCTGGGTTTTCCCTGAAACTCACAGACTCACACACTTTATAAGGCTGCATCTGCTGGTTACTTATATTAATATGCAACTTAAATAACTCAAGGGCTTCCTCCTTGATATAAACACAATCTCCATTTAAGATAAGAAATGTGTGTCATTCCACAAAAGATATTCTATTCGGAATGTCTGTTGTTTAACCACAATTGTGCTCAAGACTGATCCTAAGATGAGGGGAGTATTAGCGGGTAAAGTAGAATTAGCAGGTTTACATGCCTTTAAAAAACAATGTGTATACCAGTTACTTGTGATGAAAACATCTCAAGGGTGTATTACTGATTTTGCCTGAATGAATTAAACCCAAAAACAACCAATACTAAAATAAAAGCTGAGAAAAAAACTGAATCTGTAATTGAGGAGCCCTGTCTGGCAGATGTTTGGCACATTTGGTCAAAAAAAGAATTGCATAATCAACTTTGTTGTCATAGTTAGATTTTCTGTGTACAAGCTACTCAATCGTCACAACCTTATCTTAATGTAGAAATGTAGCTTTTTAGTAGAACTTTGTGCCAAAATATGGCAAAAAAAAACTACTTCTTAATGGTGACAGGACATCTCCTGCTGTTTCAGTCTTCCACAGATCAGAGTTTAAGTATGTAAAAAAAAAAGAATGGTGGTGGGTTGTTGCTGGAGAGCTGATATCTAAGAGCTGCAGGGGAAGAGGAGTCATTACTGCAGTGAAATGCTCATTAGCTGCTCGGCAGACCGTGGCTGCTCTATCCAGGCTGTTTCTACAACACAAGCCACTTCTGGGAAGCCTTCTCTGTGACGGAGCCCACTCAGGCAGGTACGCGAGTCAAAAGACCCCTGACAGAAGTTTAACACGGGTGTCACACATTCGTCTCAGGAATGCTCTTCTATTATCACAGATATGCAAACCATCTCCCGGCCCCCTAAGAAACTCAAATATTCTAACGGACTACTTGTGGAGTTGCACGCGGTCACAGAAACTGACACGTACTTTCCAGAGGCCCTGTTTGTCAAATAAATAGTAGGCTAGTGGTGTCCCGCAGAGCACAACATGAGAGAACACAACAAGCGCCCACTCCCGCTCACTTACCCATACTGCCTCTGGATGAGTGCTGGGTGAATGGGCTGTACTCCGATGGATATGCCTGGAAGATAGGAGGCCGGCTGTCAGACACACATTTGCATTTACAGAGGAGGACGAGAGAACAATACACAGAGGGCACAGAGTCGGTTTCAAATCCACACATAATAGAACAACGGTTTCAAATGTGCAATAAACAACAATAAAGGCATGTGTGTAGTGTTACTTAGTATGGTAATATAAAATCTGCAGTATATGGGCAGATTGGATTGTGAGCTAACACTGTCACACACACTAAATTGTAGTAAACATAGTCTTGGGGGATGAGATAAAACCATTTGAATAAAGCTTCAGGAGGAGATTTTTTACCTGGTGCAGGCTGAGACATTCTCCTCCGTTATGTGACACTGATTAAGATTGAAGCAGGACTTTGTTGATGATTCAACTGAATCATGAAACAATTATCTCACCTGTCTGTATGCTGCGAGGCTTGGCTCCCAGGTATGCCAGGTTGACGTTGGCCTTCCTACCATCGATGATAGGGTTGGGATCCTTGCAGGCTCTCTCGGCTGCTCCTCGGTCTGTCATCGTCACCTGGCAACAGAGTCAGACTTTTCAACAAGGTCTCACAATAAAAGGAAATAAAAGAAATCATCATCTCATGTTACGAAACAGAAATTAGCGTGGCGTTGCTGGCTGATGACGTGACACATATTTAACAAAACAAGAACAACACAAAACCCAGACAGTTGGTCTCATAAAATTCCCCCTACAGGCTTCCCAGTGTTATGATTCTGTTTCTGTGGTGAAGAGGGGAAACAACAAACAAAGCACAATGAATGATCAGCTTTGCAAAATGTCCGCAGCAGCAGTAGCCAGCCACTTGACTGCCACTCAGCCACGGGCAGAGCTGCTGAAATATGGATCTGAGGAGAGCACCAAGGAGCTTATCCAATTAGGGACAAAATATTAAGGAGATTGGTATTAGTCTACCCCTCCTCTCTCCCTCCTGGCATTAGACGAGCCCTTCTGCTTTGTGTGCCACGTTCTGCCAACTCAGAGGGTTCAATAACCTCCGAGTGTGGACCGAGCGACGAATGTAGGCCACAGCTTGCATTGTTTAAGGGGACGTTTTTAAAAGATGAAAAAGCAGTACGCTTCTCCATAGTGGAAATATCTACAACAAAGCCCACTCCAGGGTCTGTGTTGTGAACACAGGAAGGAGCGAGGCGGTGTTTACACTGTGAAGAGCCGATGCTGTGGGGGGTTCTACTAATCCACCTCTGAAGAGTGTTTAGAAAAAAGGTGCGCTCAGCTTTGGGATGCCCCTCCACCTCCCTCTTCCAGCTACCCATCCAACTGGAACACTCAGAAACAGAATTAGCAGGTCGAGAAAAAAAGTAAAAAAAAAAAAAGGTGCTGAACACACAAAGTGCTGATCATTTCAGTACTACAGGTTTGTGTTTTCTCCTCAGCAGCACCCACATTGCCCAGAGCCTGTCTAACCTGAATCACCAGCTTCAATAAGCAGCCGTTTGATAGCAACTACACTCCCAGGACAGCTTTTTCTCTGGATTAGAGAGCTGATGTGTAAACACAGAGAGCAATTGTCTTACAATTCTGCCACTAGAAGTAAACATGCACACATTTAAGTTTTCCATTCCTTCTTTGGCCTGATAGTACATTAGTGCAGATGTGTCTTTACAAAGTTCTGGTAAATATTTGCATTTCTTGCACCACTTCTGTTCTTTGTGTCAAAGAGAGAATGGTGGTCTTTATCTACCGGGAACAAGATAAGTCACTTATTAGAACAGATTTAAATTATAGACTGGAGGGGGGCCTTGGATGTTTTTCATTAATCTGACAGCAGCAGTGGCCAAGGATCAGGTTGTGATTAATGTACCTGTAAACTTTGTTCCCCACTCTTCACTAAGAGCTGAAATCAGACGGCTGATCGCAGACCATAAACAACCTGGTGTATGTTTTGTTTTTTTTAATTTACAACACTGCCTGTGGTGGCCTGGCCTGTCTGCAGCCTCAAAAAGATAAGATCAGAGAGAAGTTTAACATCAATTTGTAGAACAGGAGAGAGCCCATGTGAACATCTTGGAATTTCTCGCTCAGCAGTGAAGATTTGATCTAAATCCTGTTACAATGGAGGGCAGGGTGTGCAAGGTCAACTTCCCCACTGCTCCAAAATAACCATATAAAGCAAGCAAGACACACACACACACACACACACAC